CATTGAAAAAAAAGATTATTGTTAAACTATTTAGATTGTTGAGTACAAATTTGACAATTTCAGCATAATACATGAAAACCAAGAAATTTTGGAGAAAATTCGCACAATATATAAGAACCAGAAAAAACTTAGAGAAATTTATTATCTATGAGAATCGAATCTACAGCCTCAAAATTATGGGTCTCATCAAGACTCTTTAACCTCTAGTTCTTTAACCAACCAATCGACCTAAGGCTTCTTTTGCATGATAACACCTCCTTTTGCCTTTACTTTCTCTGCATATATATCCAAATATAAACAGGAACCCATAATTTCAAAGCTGTAATATCTTCTACAGCTTTTACACAAGACAAGCATATCTTCTTCATCAGTACTGCGCATCAAACTGCTATATAAAATGGCTGATGAGGAAGACAGACGTGAGTTGTCGGAAACGTATCTCAGATTCAATCTTTATCCTTACAACGCAACTGCTACTCTCTCATATTTATTTATTTGTCTATATAACTAAATTTTATGCATATTACATTTTACCGTTTCATATTTACAAAATTAATATTTTAAACTCCTAACCTTATTTGAAAACTTCCTAGAAAATAAAAAATGTTTATGGAAATGATATATTTAGAATGTTATCTAATTGTAAATTTATGGTGTGTTATTTTATAATATTAACTCTTTTTATTTAAAAATGTCATGATATTATATATATCAACTTATTTAATTTACTCATTTATAACTAAAAACTAAACCCTAACCAAGTTCCGTGTGATCCATGTAATTGAAGAGGGCGCGATGCTTCCACGGAGATGCATAGCATGGAATTACGTATGGGTACAAAGTGGAAATTTCTCTGAAGTTTCAAGTAATGTACATTCTCACTCACTCACACACAAAATACAACCTAATACAACAAGAGAGTGCAAAATATATTTTGTAACTATATATAATTTCTATCTTACTTAATGGAGATAAGCCAAACAAGATAGCGACAGACATACAATTCCAGAGAAGAGAATTTATCTTTACAAAAATTTGTCATTTCCAAGCAAATAAAAGCCAGTGTTTTAAACAGAATATACACCACGCGTCTATATATGCTTGAAAATTGTTCTTTTTCCTACAATATAAACTAAGAAGATCTGGATCAAAATCTAAAAAGTCTTAAAAACTTCTCTGATTATGTGAGACTCTCAAAAGTTTAAACTTAATTAATTAGCATATGTATGATTAATATATCAAATCAGTTATACACTTCTTTCTTAATGTGAGATTCAAGTATTACAACAAATCAATATCTTTGTCCTTTGATTTACGGGATCGAAAAGCATATAAAAAAAAAAAAGGAAAATGGGGTTAAGTGAAACTTTAAGAGTACAATTATATATATACATGTTTTCAGACAAGGAGCGTGGATTGTTCTGCTTTTCCTCTTTCCCCTTCTTTTCATCTGCTTTCTTTTTTTATCTTTTTGGTTGTGTTGTGTACCCTTTTCTGGGAAGAAGACCTTTTAGTCTGCATGTGCCTCCATCACCTCCAAGCAAGGTAGTGGCAATGGATCATCTCACCACCAAAGACAAACACCTAAAAATAAGAGTGGGGATATGTAGACCACGGGGGAATGGAATTGTAGTAACATCAAGGGCTTGTTTGAATTCTTTGTCCTCGTGGCCACCATCGAAGGGGTGAAAACATGGAATTTCTATGCCTCTCTTGCCTCAGAAAGGTTAGAGCAAGGAAAAACAAACAAAAAGTGACCAAAAAGAAGTTATAAGTGGTAACATGTCACACACTAGAAAGAAAAAGATAAGAAGCTAGGCTCTCAATTTACAACAAAAAAGAGCTTCCATGAATTGACGTATGCTTTGCAAGGAAGGATCTAAAAGGCCCGGAGTTTCTTTAATTTTTATTGATTTATTTTCTTGTATATTCAGCTTTTGTCATATATTGAGTGAACTTATGCATATTAGATTATTGTAAATTCGATTTCTACAATATGATAAAAATTCATGGAACCTAGGTTAGGAGCAGACAAATTCATAAGAAGTTACTTCCTCGTCTATATATATATATATTAAATAGTCTCCCTAAATAGAATCTTCATCATCCGACTGCAATAGTTATATTCTTGTTTATGAACTCATAATTAAATGAATTATGAAAGAGAAAAAGTTAGTCCAACAAACCCTAATCATGAAATGGGGTGTTGGGGCAGGCCCCCCTCCATTTGGGCATCTTTTGATCCACAATCCCCTTTAGAAATTTCTCTCCCAAAGTTAAAATAGTGATGGCTCAAGAAACAAACCATGTGAGTGGGGAAACTTATCTTTAAATCCAAAAAGAGAAGTTTGCCTGTGCAAGTCCAAAAGTCAAAGCATCAAATCCAAAACATCAAAAGTTCCTTCCTTTATAAAAGATAAACCAACGTGCAATCAAATACTTTGTAGCCTTCATTTCACGTAAGCAGTTAAAACAACATGGCTTGCACCCCATTACCTATTTTCAAAAAAAAAAAAAAAAAACATGGCTTGCACCAGAAAGCAAATTAATATAATCAAACCCTAAATTATCAAAAAGTCTAATGGAACTCTTCTAGACAAATTAGATAACTTGGATTTTCATTTTGGTATTCTTTCCATTTGCATTGTTCTTGATATCCATCCACATGATAATTAGGCAGTCTTTCTTTTCTTTTTCTTTTTTCTTTTTAATCGGTATATACTTTTAGAAAACAAAACATGAGTTTAATTACCATTTTATCCCATGTTTTCCCCCCAAATTTGTGTTATTTGTAATCTTCTTTAAAAGTAAAAAGTGTTAAATTTTAATTATATGCAGATAAAATAGATAAATTAAAAAGGAAGAAACCCTTTATATCCAAAGAAAAGCCAAAAAGAAAATTTTTTTCTTTGACCTTAAAAATGAAAATTTTTTAACTTACTAAGAACACGAGTGAAAGGATTCCAATGGATTTTTTGATAGAAGATGCCAATGTTAAATTATGCTATTGATCAGGCAAATGGAAAAGGAACACCGGCACTTTTTTAAGCCCATAAGGCCCTATTCAGGAAAGGCAAAATTGGGCCTATGGTGCATGTCATTGATTGTGGATAACCCTTTTATAAGCCCAATTTCGTCCCCAAGGTTGGAAAGCCATATCAGTGACCGACCCTTTCTAGCTTCTCCAAGTTCCATCGATTTAAGTTAGCCATGGCATGGAAGGACGATCCATCAAAAAAAAAAAAAAAAAAAAAAAAAAAAAAAAAAAAAAAAAAAGAAAAAAAGAAAAAAAAAGAAGAAAAAACAAAGAAAAAAATGGGTTAGCATGGAGGAGGAATATTTTAATTTTACTCCAAAGTCCAAGCTTTATTTATTTTCTTTTTGTGTGTGTGGAGATAAGGCAATTACTCCAAACATGAATTTGAAAATCGAATAAGAATATAACTCAAGTTTGAATTGAAACATGGATAAATTTGCTCAACTAACCTCAAACTTGCAAATTGGCCCAAAAACCCTCGTTCACAACCCTGCCTATAATAATACATAACTACATAGGAGAAAAACCACCTTAGAATACAAATTGTGTTAAAAAATATGGGTATAAAATGACTATGATGTATGATCAATATAAAAATTTATATGCGTAATCTACATAAATAAAATTTTTAGTTCAATAATTAATTTTTAAAAATATTAATTAAAAAGTAAACTTTTAAATAAGCTTTCCAAAAATATTTTAAGAGCATGACCTACACTATACTAATTACCATACTTAAGGGCCTGTTTAGTATAGTAGTTAAAATTCAACGGATAGCGGATAGCAGGTAACGGATAGTGGATAGCAGTAGCGGGTAGTGGGTGGCGGTTAGCGGTTAGCGGTTAGCGGATAGCGGATAGCGGATGGTGGATAGTGGAAGTGGGTAGCGGATGGTAAATAGCGGATTCGATAAATATAACTGTTTGGTTATACAATAGTTAACAGCTGTTGTTTAACATTAAATGATTAATAAAGACATGTTTAAAAATAAATATGTGTATTTTTTAAAATATTTTTATTTTTTATTATTAAAATTATTAATTTTATAAAAATAA